TGTCCATAAAACCGTAAGTCAACGTTTCAATAGTAATTTTAACTCCAAAAAATCGCAACGCTGGTCCTAAACCTTTTATTTTGTTGCAGATTACACCCAAACCTTTATATATAATTACAGCGTTGGTCCATTTCACGCATTTCGTCCATATCGTCAGTCAACATTCAAACAGTAATTTTAACTCAAATGACATCTTAATTGATAGGAAAAATTGTCAAAACAAGTTATCCAAAAAAAAAATGTTTGTTTTCTTCAAATCCTTCAATCTTTTCACAAACATCACATTCTCATCATCAATAACTATCTGATCAGATAACAATTCGATTCGATTTGTTACAATAATCGAACCGAAAAATTATTTTTATGGCATGTTATTTGTCACTAAAATAAATAAATGAGAAAATAAAAATAAATAAACTACATTTGGTACTATAATTTGTATGTATTATTAAATAATTTTTAGATTGATTAAAAATTAAAAATAATATTAAAATAAAAACGTATTTTTTATTAAAAATTAAAAATAATATTAAAATTTCTTATTTAATACTAAACTTTTTTATTTTCTCATATATTTATTTTAGTGACAAATAGCATGCCATAAAAATGAAAAAATTGCAACGCTAATCCCAAACTGGCATGTTTAGACAAAGCCTAGGCATCTATATTATTAAAAGAATATATTCTTATTTTAATATTATTTTTAATTTTTAATCAATATAAAAATTATTTAATAATATATACAAATTGTAGTACCAAATGCAGTTTGTTTATTTTTATTTTCCCATTTATTTATTTTAGTAACAAATAACATGCCATAAAAATAATTTATCGATTCAATTATTATAACAAATCGGATCAGATTGTTATCTGATCAGATGATTATCGATGATGAGAATGTGATGGCTGTGAAAAGATTGAAGGATTTGAAGAAAACAAACATTTTTTTTTGGATAACTTGTTTTGACAATTTTACCTATCAATTAAGATGTCCTTTGAGTTAAAATTATTGTTTCAACGTTGACTGATGATTTTATGGACAAATGCGAAATGGACCAGCACTGTAATTATATATAAATGTTTGGGACTTTAACCGCAAAAATTAAAGGTTTGGGTGTAATTTGCAACAAAATGAAAGGTTTGAGACCAGCAATGCAATTTTTTCGAGTAAAAAATATTGTTGAAACGTTGACTGATAGTTTTATGGACGAAATTACAGGCTTGGGACAGACGCTGCAACTACATATAAAGGTTTGGAACTTCGGCTGCAAAATAAAAGGTTTGGGTGTAATTTGCAACAAAATGAAATGTTTGGGACCACTGCCAGAATTTTCCCAAAAAGTTTTCAACCATTGTTCTTCTTCACATCAGATCTCTTTCATCACAAAACTTATAAAAATTTAATAAGGGTATATTAGTAAATGAACACAACAAAATATTCTACATTAGGAAACAGGCCTATATATTTGGGATAAGAGAAAAAGGAAACTGAGTCTATATAATTGGGATGGATGGAGTGCCTAACAATATTATTCTTTACGCCAAATCAGTAAAAAATCTTTGTTAAAAAATAAAATGCGAGTTAACCACGGTGGTACTTAACTACATCTCGTTCAATTTAATGTTAATACTTCTAATAGAGTGATCGTTAATATAATAATTAAAAACTTGTGTGACTATTATCGACTTATCGTAAAAAAATATATTCGATGACCACTAGCGTAATTATTCAAAACTTTAATAATCATTAATTAAACCCTTGTTTGGTTCTCATTATTTCTAAAATAAATTTTTCTTTTATATTTCAACCACACATTTTTCAATAAAATAATATCACATATAAATCCAAAAAAATCTTATTTTTTAGAGTAATGTTATTTAGCTCCCACAAGAATAACAATCACATTTTAGATGACGTTAATGCGACATTAAATGATATGTGAGTTATTTAATTTTACATTTCATCTATCCTATTATTTAGAAACTACCTAAATCGGGGTTGTAATTCCAGTGAGGCTACGTAGCATTACTATATTTTTTAACCACACATTTTTATCAAATCATATTCTAAAATACATATTTGGCAAGAAGATGAGACTCAAATGGGATCTAAAGATGCTTAATTCTATCAATTTTATTTTTTTGAATGAGTGAATGATAGCAATACTATAACAATAAAATATTACGTACAATAAATTGATTGTGTACTTGTTTATTGAATGCTTACCACGATGTCTATTAATTAGCAATAGAGCTGGTTAGTTGTACATGGCCACATGGCCCTGTACTATATTTTGTTTTAGCTGTGACGTATTTCACTTGTCTTAGAAGATAAAACTTTCAATTATTCTGAATAGATATTAATTCATGAAAGTTTATAATTATAATATAATTGAGAATCGAATCAAAATCTGGATCTCTAGCTAAAGACGATAACTATGCCAAAACTATTTGATTTTTATTTCCAAGCCACAAATCGGACCAAACGGCTTAGTTTAATTCGACGATTTGGGTAGGATGAACTCTTGATACCACCTAGACTGATGATGATCATTTTTAATGATAGATAACATTATTATTTCCAATAGTTAACGGGTGATAAATAGAAGAACGGTCACATCTATATATACATTCAAGAATCAAGCATAAGCTTAACACGGATTAAGCAAACTTCTTTAATATTATTGGAAAATTAATTCTTGCCAAAATCTTTCCTAATTTACCCCTATTGAATTTTTAGTATGTAAAACTAAATTATTGTTGGAACTAATAAAGAATTTGAAGAAGAATGAGAAATGAGAGTTGTTCCGTATTTCCAAGAAGTGGGAAATGTGTGTATTTGGATTATTTCAAGAAATTGGCATATTAAGTGGGGAAAATTTAATAAGGGTATATCAGTAAAGGAACACAACAAAATATTTTACATTAGGAAACAGACCTATATATTTGGGATAAGAGAAAAAAGAAACTTAGCCTATATAATTGGTACGGATGGAGTACCTAACAATATTATTTTTTACGCCAAATAAGTAAAAAATCTTTGTTAAAAACTAAAATGTGAGTTAACCACGTTGGTACTTAACTACATCTCGTTCAATTTAATGTTAATACTTCTAATAGAGTGATCGTTAATATAATAATTAGAAACTTGTGTGACTATTATCGTAAAAAAATAAATTCGATGACCGCTAACGTAATTATTCAAAACTTTAATAATCATTAATTAAACCCTTATTTGGTTCTCATTATTTCTAAAATAAATTTTTCTTTCTTATTTTCAACCACACATTCTTCAATAAAATAATATTACATATAAATCCAAAAAAATCTTATTTTTAGGGTAATGTTATTTAGCTCCCACGGGAATAACAATCACAGTCTAGATAACGTTAATGCGACATTAAATGATATGTGAGTCATTTAATTTTACATTTTATTTATCGTATCATTTAGAACTACCTAAATCGGGGTTGAAACCCCAGTGAGACTACGTAACATTACTCTATTTTTTAACCACATATTTTTCATCAAATCATATTCTAAAATACATTTTTGGCAAGAAGACGAGACTCAAATGGGCTCTAAAGATGCTTAATTCTGTCAATTTTATTTTTTTGAATGAGTGAATGATAGCGATACTATAACAATAAAATATTACGTACAATAAATTAATTGTGTACTTGTTTATTGAACGCTTATCACGATGACTATTAATTAGCAATAAAGCTGGTTAGTTGTACATGGCCGCATGGCCCTGCACCATATTCTGTTTTAGCTGTCACTTATTTTACTTGTCTTAGAAGATAAAACTTTCAATTATTCTGAATAGATATTAATTCATGAAAATTCATAATATAATTGAGAATCGAATCAAAATCTGGATCTCTAGCTAAAGACGATAACTATGCCAAAACTATTTTATTTTTATTTCTAAGCCACAAATCGGACCAAACGGCTTAGTTTAATTCGACGATTTGGGTACGATGAACTCTTGATACCACCTAGACTGATAATGATCATTTTTAATGATAGATAACATTATTATTTCCAATAGTTAACGGGTGATAAATAGAAGAACGGTCACATCTATATATGCATTCAAGAATCAAGCATAAGCTTAGGGCATCATCACTCGATTCAAAGTACAAATCCCAACCTCATGGTGCCTCCAAAAATTCCTTTGCCACTTCATCAACATTACAACCTGACCCACAATCTGCAACCTCGACTTCGGTATGGTATCGGTATCCTCCCTACCGAGTCTTCAAAACCCTGAATGTTTTTTAATACTGCAAACAACACCACAAAGATACGGAATGATACCTGTGTATCCCTCCATTGCCTTACCCTGCAACTTCAAAGGTAGCCTCAAATTTGCTTGAACGCCATTATCTGTATTCACAAGAATGCAGCTCAAAAGTAGATCAGTTTGCTTTTGACTGTGAGCATAAGCAACTTAAAAGTTAACCCTTTTTTGTGCAAGTATGTCATCACATACAAGCATTCACAAAAAAATAATTTTTAAGCACAGCCAAACATGCTTGTCACTTCAGAATTTAGCATGGTAAATGGAGTTCAACAGCAAAGTTCTACAAATCAAGTGTCGTATGAACAAGGTATACAAAAAATATATATTCCAAAACCAGCTGCTTTTACTCGCAGCATATGCTGATTTGATTCTAGTTTCTATCAATAAAATAATAGTGTTACTGAAAATACAATACACGTCTGTTATGAAGGGTAACAGACTAATGGAGTACTAACCATTTGAGTTGACATGACTTATATTTCCTAAACGCTACAATTTAGGAAACTATTTTTCGAATTTCTCTTGCATTATTACATTTTAGTGTCCTCAACGGCAGTGACCTGTTGGAGAGAAATGGAATATGCGCATCAGCTCAAATATATCTTCAAATGAAAGCGTTACCCCCCAAATGTCGCATTCGTATTTCCTTCTAAAGATTACTTGGACTGTTCCTATCAGAATCTTAGCTAGATTATGCACAATTCTCATTGGATGCTGTATTTAGAGCCAAGGCTTCACAAGAAGAATTCGCACAAGCAACTTGTCCATCAGTCGTCCTGCTTGTTTGAGTAGAATTATCAGTTTCATTTGGGTCTACAACTTTCCTCTGAACTTCTTCCAACGCCACAAGGTCACGTCCCAACACAAGGACAGCCTTCTGATTCAAGTCTGGTTTCAATCTTGTGGTACTTTCACGAGTACCCTGAATAGTAGAAACAGATACAGGATCTTGATCCTCATTGCTATTTTCAGTAGCAGCCTGTGCAGAAATGGCAAGAGAAGAACCGAAAGCTGGTTCCACACCACTAACTTCAACGTTCTCCTCGTTACAAGAGGCTGCCAAGTCATATTTGTTATTAGTATCCCTAAAAGGTAAGGAATATATATTACCATTAACGAGAGTGACTTTTGCATCAGCAGAATCCGAGGAAAGTTCTATAAATGAATGAAGTTCACTTTTGTTGTCAAGTGCACTAAACCCATTAGCAGAACTCGGTTCTCCATGGACTTTCTGTGTAGTACTGTGTGCAGATGTTTCAAACAGAGAACCAGGAGTAGAGTCAATACAACCATCTTTTACATTTACATCAGAGGCGGTGGTATCATTAGAAACTTCGACTGTGGAGCTTCTATCAACTTGAATTTTTACAACTTCTACTTCCAAAGAAACCTCTGAAACAGCTTCTACCTTGTTTTGGTTCTCAACCACATCGTGATCATCTGATCCCGGCTCAGATTGCATGGTGCACTCATCAGTACAACAAATACCAAAAACAGAGACAGGATTCTCGTTTTCAGCAGCAGCCTCGGCCATTTTCAAAGTTTCACCTGAAGGATCAATAATGGATTCCAGACAAGGAGCATTAGAACTTATCTTGTACACATGATCCACGACAGCCGCCACAGATTCAGAATTATCCCTAAGAGGAAGTTCTAGCAAGGGATTTTCCATCTCAGAAATATCAGTACTCGCAGAGGAGGTAGAGGGACACTTCAAGTTAGCAGAGGATTCTTTTAGCTTCTCCTCTGTTTCAGACTTGATTGCAGACGTTACCTTGCTGGTGTCAGATTTATTAGTAGCATCTGATGCACTAGGCGAGGTCTTACCATTTGAAGGAATATTCGATTCTGGGGAATCAGAATCCACGGCATCAACTTTATCGTGGATCTTTATCTCATCACACACACCAGCATCGTCAATCACCTGTCTATTGTGCTCCATAGTAGAATCAATATCAGGTTTGTCTACCAAAACATGCAACTGAGGTTGATTCTCTTTGGATTTAACAACCTCAATACCTAGTCCAGAGGATGCGAAACGATCACACAACAGTTAGATTCAGGAATAAAGAGAGCACAATAGTCTAATAGAAAAAAGAAACAAAGTTCAAGTCATGTACAATAGTTCAAACTTCATATTGTTCAATATTGAACGGAAAAAAAGGTACTCATAGAACAGGGTAAAACAATAATGTTACCATCCGTAATTTCTGACTTCATTAACTGCTTCTGCAACATGTCTGCCCCAGGAAAGACCAACATATTCAGGGATTTCATTTCTTTCTTGTGTGCATCCTCAAGTTGATGGAAACCAAACACTAGAGTCCATGTGTTCATATGCTCTGATATGGCAGGGATAATCAATTTCTCGACTTTGAGAGAGCATAGAGTCTGGAGTTGCAGCAGTTGAAAGTTAAATCATTCATCCAAAGCAATTTAATATGAGAAAAATGGACTTACATTGCCCAAAAAGCAGAGATTTCAGATTTTCAGCAGATGTATTAACTGTTTATGATAAATAAACAGTATAAATTTTTAGCAACAGTGTAATATTTAAGAGTAAATAGATGATAGTGACCAGAAAGCAAGAAGTGATATTTGGGGCTTGGGCACAACATTCGTCCAGAAAGTATAAACTGATGCATACTTAACAAGTGAAGGTACTGACAGGATGCCCTCTTCTTACCAACTCAATAGCAGACAAAAGTCGCCGGCACATTCCTTGGCGCCTATAGATCTCGCGGGTCCCAATAAATGGCATCTCAGCAAGACGGTTCCCGTGGATCCTAATTAGATAATGATATATACAGTAATCAAAATGATTTTTCTTGATGGTCAATAAAATTCAATAAGCAACCATACCATAAGTCAACAATCTATATTGACAAGATTATAATGAAAAACCCAACACAGCACATCTAAACAAAAAAAGATGATTTACCCAATGGCGCAGACACAATATACAATTAAATAACACAGAAATTCATCCTTCTTGAAATCCCATGGCCATGCAAATAGATGACAAGAACTGAACATGAAAAGGTAAAATTAGACAAACAAAATCTAGAAAATGTCATATTTCCCATTGAATGTAACTAGGCCGGTGATTCGAAAAATATATACATTTGGGAAGAAACAAGGTTGCAAATCAACTCTTTGTTTTTTCTTTTAAAAGTTTTTGACACCATTCTTCTCATTTCTGCATGGAAGTCTGATTTCCTTGAACTAGTTCACCAATTCAATAGCTTGTCAAGAACCTGAGGCATTCAACTCTGATAATTGCACCTTGGGGCCAGCCTATCTACACATAGAGAAAGTGCTTTGCAGTAGCATGGTTGCATAGATTTTGAACTCTAAGGCACAGATGGCATGGAGTTTAACTTAATCTAATGAGTGAGAAGATTCTCTAAACTTTCCCACCACCTTCTCAACTAATATCTTCCCTGCGTAGCTATCCAAGATATTTATGTGGAAATATCTAGATACACTCCTATAATGACACGGTCCATTTGCATCCAGGTGTGACAAGCCATTTACCAGCAGAAAATAAAAATCAATCCTAAAACTCGTTATAGGTTTTTATTATCATTTTCTAGACGAGGTAGGTTGATTTTTAACATATCAATCCATCATCTACAAAATATGCATTAAAAAATGAAACCGGAAAGACCAAATATCACATGAAAATGATTAAAGAAAAGAATGCAAATTAGATTATTGATGTTATGTCAGCACCAAGTAGTAAAACAAGTTGTTCATCTCATTCTGAAAATTGATCTATAGACAGTAAACCTTTTATTTCGTACAGTCCAAAAGCAGTGTTAGAAGAGGAGGTAGTAATGCAATATCATTTAATTCACACTAGAGATTAACAAATCCAGAATGCATCTTGATTATCACTGCTGCAGAAATCTGATTGCATCCATGATTTAGGTTTGTTGTCAAAGTCACAAATCATTTTACCTGACAGATGCAGCAGAAACTATTTCATCACCTCGCTCCAAAATTGCCGTATAGAAGCCATGATAATCCAGACGATTAAAGTTCGATCTACAAGAGAAGAGACACAAATGCATGAGTAGACTACTTTCAAAGACGAAGATATGACTATGCATGAGTGACTGTAGGGGACCAGTCAACAGAGATAAAAAGCAAGAGCAGAAAATGACAAAAAATGACCACCAAGAAGTGACCGAATTATTGACAAATGATCAAAAAATATTAGAAGACAGTTAGAAAACGACAAAGTATTGTAATATTCATGTATATGAGCAAAACTATGCATATAAATATACACATCAACAAATATAAAGTAAAAAGGAAGAAGATATGTCATTTGTCTTTCATGCTTATACACGGTAAAATTTTAATATTCATATCCTTAAGCTGATGGCTTCATGAGTATTGGAAACACAGGCTTGATTTGTATAAACTCCAGAAGAAAAAGATTTCTTCAACAAATAGTAAACTAAAATCTAGGTGCAACAAACAGAGAAAATGGAATTTTATAATCCAAAATCACATTATGATTATGAAATATCTGCTTCAGCATGATCAGTATCTCCTTACCCACAACTATAGACAACGTTACGAATTATATTGATGCCACTCCTCCTGTCAATGATGGGCAAAAAACACTCATCCATAATCGATAACGCGACAGCTAGCTTAGAATTGCATTCCACCCTTTGAGGAAATCCATGGTGCAAGGTATCAGAAACATCTGTTCGCTGAATAAGAGACCATGAAAATCCTGCTTCCAGTTCAAGTTTGACTCCAAGAATCTTCTGCAAATGATCATAGAGCTGACAAAATAGAAGAATGTGAGAAAAGTTTCTTCTGATTTCTGAAGCTTGCAAAAATATTCAATAAGACACAACACAGTAACATGGTCAATATAGTTGGCAAAAATATAAAACTGAAGGAGGAAACAATACTTTGAAAACTAAATTTATCATCTAAGGGAAATCTATAATAACAGTCGAACCTTTCGAGTATGAATTAATGAATATTTTGTTCTTATTGTGCTTTGCAACACACATACAGAACTTAAATTTTCACGACTAATGAATATTTCATTAACACTGACGATTCTAATAGTAAATTTTCGAGGGAGAAAATAAGAGAAAGCTAACAGTGATTCTTTGCAACAAAGGAATTTGTAAGAGATCAATTTATATCCTGGCTAGGAGTTTAATAAGAGTTGGCAAACATATGAAAGCGCCGAAAGTGGGTAAACATAAATCTAAAATTTAAATCAACTGTCTAAATAGAATATGCTGATCGAACTTCACACATTCATAATTGAAGTTTTCAGTAATTTGGGTGGTATTTTGTAGGAAACAAGCATTACTGAAAACACAACTCTTTAGTTTGATGTCCAAAACCTTTGGGATAGAGAAGAGAATCTTATTCTTCTTGTTAAATACCTATAACAATCCTTTTATTTTAACACACATACAGCTGATTTAGAAAAGCTGTTACTAAAAAGTGCTTTTCTGATAATCCACAATACTTAGTATCGCTTAAATAAAAAAAAATTTATGAAATGAATAATAAAATATTACAAAAATCACAGGCAATCGAGTTCATTATCCCAATTCCTTTTGTTAGTTCCAATAAAACTAGAACATGTTCACATATGACTACAATCTTGATGATTATATGATAGCACATTTATTCTCCTTTCTATAGGATGGATGTTTTTTTTTTTTTTTTTTTTTGAATTTCACCCTCCCCCCAAATGAGACTCAAACACAAGTCGCTAACCTAGAAGGCTAGTAAAGCTTCGTTCTTACCACTTGAGAGGGGCTTTCATCTCCTTCAATAGGAATTACTAATTAGATTTATTCTTCATTGTTTAGTTCGAAAAGAAGTAGGAGATCTAAGGGCATAATTTTGATTTTTCCTGTGTTCTTTTATTTACATAACAAGAGACAAGATCCTTGGGTGATAATATATTCTTTACCTGTTTGGTCATGAAAATCATATAAACAGAATTGAAAAGATGAGATAAATCAGAAAAAACTAACAAATTTATCTATCTTCCAAGATTATTAAGTGTTATACAGTTGCATGTACACATTCTTTGTGAAATCAAGAAAAAACTAAAGCCTGCTTGCTTCACAAAGACGTTATAAAAAGAAAATATTAACTACTTTGTTTTCTTCTATTTGTGATTTTCTCCCTTTCGATTCTTTTATCTATTCACTTGTTGGACCATGACATGGCCTTTAGCAGAACGTCAAAATGCACATGGTTTCCCTATGCACCCTCAGTACATGATGAAAAATATGCTCGAAGACTCGAGCATGATTGGGAAGCATTTATAAACGGCTTAAATTGTAAATAGATGTAAATAAATGGTGTGAATAGTACTTATGGATCCCTCAAAACGTGTAGATAAAAAGTGACTTGAGGGTTCATAAACACGAGCCAAATATAGGCTACATCTTACAACAAGCACATATAGAAAAATAATCAAGGAATGTTTTTTGGATAGTGGCAAGTGGACAACAATTCTCTTCTTGGTTTCCTATTGTATATTTTAAGACAATTCTTAATAGTTCATCTAGTTCACAAAGGCTTTCAAGACACGAACAAAACATGATAATCCCACTTCTACAAGGATCCCACGGAAAAAGCAGGAAAAAAACAAGTTGGATTACTTTAGCCAAGATGCAATCGACGATTACCAGAAAGTCGATTACACTGGTAATACCACGCTGTAATATTTCTCAGCACTAATCCCAAAAAGGAAACAAAAGCTTATACCTCTTGGCACTTCTGTCCACAAAAAGAATAAGATTCACCATGCAAACTCACAGGCACACCATGCACCAGCTCACTGCATGATTTGTGATCTAAAAAAACAAAGAAAGTAAGAGTTCATTTGACTTGCTTCAAAACCCAAAAACAGAGGAAAAAGCGAAATGTAGCGACACATAGAAAGCTTCAAAAACACAAAGATAATACATTTTTTTCCACAGAGGATGCATCTGATAAGGTCGACAGTCCTGTCATTTTCTTCAGCAACATTTCCACTAACATCCCCACAAAATTTGCATGTACACTTGGGGCAGTGCCAATCACCTGGAGGGAGCGCCTGCAGTGAGCTATAGTACGTGAGCTATCTGAAAAATGTAAGTTGCATGCAACCGTGTAAAAAAGACACATGTTTCGTGTAACTAATTATATATCGATAACTAAGAAAAACAATAACATAATTATGCCCTTGTCTTGGCTCCATTAAAATGAGATTTGGGGGAAAATATATTTTATAATAATGATTTTTTGGATATATGTATTTAAAAAATAAGGAAACGTTTTAGGCTTACGTGTAACATTATTTTGTGTGAGAATGTGTGGTTTAAAATGCATTTTTGAAAAAATGGAACCCAAAAAGGGCTATAGTTTCTCGAATTATTCTACCTGTACATTCGGGTGTACACCCTGAGTGACATAATACACAAGTGGCATTCCGTCGTTGGCAGGTGAAGAAATTTTTTTTCACCAACCAATGAAAGAATGCCACTTGTGCATTATGTCACCCAGAGGTTCTAGTTTCCCATACCCCAGTTCTCTCCTGCCTCCCTCGGCCTTCACTTGAAAAAAGATAGGGGGAATGCCAAATAGCAGGCAACCAGAGCTGCAGTATTTTCTATACATATACAACAGTTAAATTTATGTGCATGTGCAGCTTAGTATGTTCTGGGGAGTGAAATGATCCACAGGAATAGACGTCTAGTAACGTGGGGGCAATTGCCTATTAGACATACATTTAAATATAAACAATACTCTTGTACATGTAAAGATGAATTATGTAACTAACTATAAATTGAGGGATTGCAATAGGATAAACAGTAAGACTCAAAGGAATTCCATGTTAGTGATGTAATAAACATGAGAAAATCCACAAAGGTCAAGACATGAGCTATCTAAAACATACCTGTATTCCCAAACAGCTCTGGTGTAAAGTTGATGGACAACTATCACAACAGATCAAATCCCCTCCATCACCACAGATACCACACGTATCATCATCTGGATCATCTCCACAAACATCTACAGTGTGGAAATCTTCACGCACAGACTCCTCTTGCCTATTCCAGGCATCTATTTGGCATTGCAAAAGAGAGGCCCCAGACTCCAAAAGTATGTTCTGAAATGGCTGACGCAACTTGCTGCCAGCATGGAGCTCAAACTTTGAAACTGTAAGGATTTTACTACAGCAACCACAGTGGATCCCATCCCTCGTGATCCAGCCTTCTAACATTACACGTGTCCGTCTACGGTTCATATACTGTACCTTTTCACTTAACTGTGCAGTACCAGAGTCAATCAACCAAGCCAATACAGTTCTTTTTCCAGTATATGTAACATAACCATCAGATTCTGAGTTTTGCCCTTTGTTAGAGCTGCGAACAAGCAGAGTGCATCTCCCAATTATCTTACTTGTTCTACCTTGTACCGCTTTAGAACTTGTTTTGTTAGAAGTTTTTTCAACTCTGTCTTTCTTGGTCTTCTTTTTGGGTAAATCATCACTTGAATTACCCCCCCTCTCTTCACCCACTTCACTCAATTTACCTTTTAATGACTTACAATTCTGTTTCCTGTACGAGCCAAGATTCCCTTCATTCTGATCAGTGTCTGAGCTCTCTGCAGCCTTTTTTCCAGCAGATCTCTTAGCACTCTTATTTGAGCGATCTTCTTTTCTCTTCCTTTTCATTTCTTTCTCAATCTTCCTTTTAGTTTGCCTTGTAAGCTTGTTTATTAGATCTTCAGACAAAGGAGCAAACAAGGAAGAGCCAACATCAGATTTAGTTTTCCCATTGTCTTCCTCCAACTGTTTCTTGAGTGCATCATAAGCTTTAATTATTGACCAGTAGGCTGTTCCACTTGGGTTAATGTACACAGCATCTAAGTACTCTCTGTTCCGCCGTGGTCTATAATCAATGGTCCAGCCAGCATCAACTAGCATATCCCTAATCTGCTCACGCAGCATTCGCTTTTCTGTGCTCCCACCACGCTTCACTTTCTCATTAGACGGCGTCGATTTTTTGGGAGGGGGAGATCTTTCTTCCTTCATTTTTGCCACCTTCTTTGAGCTGCCAGCATGCAGCTCTGGTCGTACCAGTTCGAGCGATGTATTAATATCATCAACCCTTGAATCTCTATCTTTTTTGCCTTTGCTCTTTAATGGTTTTGACTTTTCCAGTTGCAAGTCCATTTTCTCCTTCACAACCCTTTTCTCTTTGTCAACAAATAAACCTTTTTTATGTTGTTTTGAAGCCGAAGGAAATGAGGATCCCAATAAATCCTTCTCGACAACATTTTCAGACCTAGAATCCTTTCTTACTTTAACTTCCTGAGGTTCATAATTCTTATGGTGAGATGGAAAATCCATCTTTTTCTTTTTCACCATAACCTTCAACACCCCATTTTTCCCCTGCAACCTAATTGGCTCATCCACCACCCCCTGATACTTTAACCTTAACAATGAAATTGGCGTATGTCCTTTATCCTCCTCTAACTCAAACCCTTTATTTCTCCCACCATTATATTCTATCCCTCTGCTCTTCCCGCAAATAGAACTGCCAAAATATGAACCATGTCTCCCTTTATCCACCATCACACTCCGGCTTGACGACCCACCTCCAGCTTCCTTCAAATTCCCACCACCACTACGACCAACCATCTTAAACCTGTCCTGAACATATTCATTCCTCATCTTCTTCCCATCAAACTCTTGGTACTCATCATACTCATCAAACTCAAACAAATCCAACCTATTTCTTTTCCTCACACCACTACTCTCCATCTCGCCATTGTTCCTGTAATACTCCCCGTCTTCAAGCCCACTCTTCCCACCCTCCAAAGAACCATTCCGAAACTTCTTTTCATTCACTTTTCTTCTCATAAACTCCAATGACTGGTTCTCATAACTCGAACCCGAATCACTAACAACTAATCTAGGCCTCTTTTTTTCCTTAATATTGTTCGAACACCCCAATCCACCTAAATTGTTATTTTCACTTTTCTTTTTAATAACCAAACACCCAGACGAACTTTTCTTCTTCAACACAACTCCTGATCCCAGACTCCCATCCATTTTTACACATCAACTACGTAAGAACCCCTTGTCTAATTCAACCCAAATTCACCATGACGTTAGAAGACAACACACACGAACGACTAATTCTCAATCCCTTAATCAACAGCCAGATCTAAAGGAAGCAAATCGAAGAACTAACCCCAGAATCCTTTGAAATTTTTTTGAGAATTATTACAACAAATCGTGGCACGCAGAGGTAATAGTTAACCAAAGAATCTAGAAAATATTTACCTCGCCGTAGAGAAGTGTACCATTGTACAATCGTACATCAACCGAATGATAATTCACTTTGGTAACGTAATTTGCAGGCAAGAGAGAGAAATAGAATTGCTATTGGTTTTCTGAGTTTTATAAAGCAGAGGAAAAGAAAATATGAAAAAATATATATAGGATCTGACACTTGCGTTGTCACAGTACTTCTTCCTTCTAGTTCTCATTCTCTATTTTCAGCAGTTTAGACTGTGTTTGCTTTAGTTAAAATTTAATTTTTTAATAAATTTTAATAAAATTTATAGTTGATAAAAGTTGTATATCTCATGAAATTTAATTTATGATTAAAAATGAGTTTGATGAAAAATTAATTTTGGAAAATGGGCCAAACAAGGTGTTACTAGATTGTTGATTTTTTCCTATAATACGAAAAATATCACACGTTCGTAAATGTTTACGAGCTACACCATTTCACTTAGAGATTGTTTGGAAGAGATTTTTGGGGAAAGAATTGATTTTGAATAGTGATATGATGGGAAATGTGTGGTTGAAAAAGAAGAAAAAATTATTGATGTGATGGAAAATATTATTTTATTGAAGAATGTGTGGTCAAAAATGAGAATTGAATTGAAAAAGAAGAAAAAATTATTTATGTGATGGAAAATATTATTTTATTGAAGAATGTGTGGTTGAAAATGAAAATTGATTTACTGTAGAAAAATTTAATCCCTCCCAAACAGGGCCTTAACTTGTATGAAGATAGTCAATAAATGACAAGTATTATTTATACTGATATAGAGCGAGCTTGAATTGTATTTAAATAAATATAAAATAAGCTCGATTTATTTAGTTATATTTGGCTCTTATTTATAAAAATTCAAATCTTTTTTTATTCATATATTTCGAGAAATTCACAAATATTATACACTTATCTACAATTTATTTTTGTTTACTTATAATTTAAACTGGTTATAAACATATTCCAAACATGATATAAAAGAAAATCTCAAATTCATACTCCTTTGATGTTAAGCGCCCGTTTGGACCCCATTATTCGACATTATAATGAGATAAATAATAATTTTTTGAAAAATGTGTGATTAAAAAAGAATAAAAAGTTTTTAAATTTACGTATAATATTATTTTATTAGAAAATTTATGATTGATACGAAAAGAGAGAAAAATGAATTATAATTTAATGGGAAATAATATGAGTCAAATGGTGACTAAATTGGTTTTCCTTTTCCATTACATTTTAGTAAAAAATAAAAATTTATCTAATGTCATTAATATTAACTTATTTTTAAAAAACTTAATTTTGAAATTCAGAAACTTTATGCACTTAATTTTTTTCTTTTTTATATTTATAAAAGTTTTATGGATTTTGGTTATATTATGGAGTGACGCGATGTGTACGTAAACAATGTTATTTTTATTTTTAAAGTTAGGCTTCTGTACTTTGGGGTTTGCCATTTGAGCTTCCGTTTGAGGTGCATTATTTAGCCAGAAAAATAAAAAATATGATCGTTTGTCATCGAATCCAACCCCTTTTTTGACTTCTTCTCTCTAAGGTGGGGCCCAGCTACCTGTGCAACGGCCATTTTTTCATTTTCATGAGGTAGAAAATGAGCTCCAAAGTCCAAACAGGGGCTGAGTTTAATTTTGGGTGAAAAATTGTGCACTTAACTTTCATGGGCGAAGCTAGATATTCGGTTAAACTCGATTTTTTCTTGCTAAATTATCTCGTCGAATATGGAAGCGTTGGGTCACTGCACGCTTATGAAATAAGTAAAAACATATTTAAGAATTGTCAAAATTAATAAAATATTTAGCATATTGTGAAAAGTTTGTTTGCTTGTCGTGTGATTTTCTGAAACTATGAAAAGACTATTTACCTTAAACTATTTCGTGCTACTTGGGTTCCTTTTCTTGCTTTGTATAACTCAATTGGTTATCAGTACAATAAATGTTTAGTATGAATTGAAAAGATCATAAATTAAGAGACAGACAATTACTTAAAAGTTAAAAGGTTATTTTTGAGCTTAGCAAGCCATACTTAAATCATTAATTTTTTTTCTTAATATTTTTCAAATCATTTATAGGTTAGCTCTTCGTTTTCTTGTTTAACTGCGAGAATTTTAGGCTATAAAAATAGCATAATCATGGCTCGTGATGTATTTTCTTTTAACGTCATGGTGAATTTGGGTTGAATTTCTTGTGAAGTTGATTGAAATACAAGGAATTTTTACATGATTGATGTATAAAAATAAAGGGGAGACTAAGATCATAAGATTTTTAAAGAAAAAAGTCCTTCAATTTTCATTTACTAAAAAGGGAAGTGAAAGTAACAATAGATTTGGGGGTTTTAACCAAAAGTAAGAAAAAAGAGGTTTAGGTTAATGACTCAGGTTTCAGTGATGCATATGTTGGATTTGTTCGATGAGCTTGATGCAATATAGATACAGACACGACAAGGACATACTAACACATGAAGTTTCCAGAAAAAAATAATAGAATATGTACATGTTGATGACACGTCAAACCAAAATGTGATACAAGGAAAAACAAAATAACTAGGAAATGCATTATGCATGTCCGTGGTTGTAACACCCACAAATCTAAATATCTAGATTTGGAAATAATATCATTTCATTTTTTTTCTTTTAAAATCATAAATGCGGCCTAGTGATGGCAACGGGACGGATTCGGGGCGGGGCACCTCCACCTCACCCCGCCACGCCACTCCCGCCCCGTGCCCCACCCCCGCCTTAGACGGGGCGAGGCTCGGTGCGGGGCGCGGGCTTGCCCCGTTTCCTGCCCCATTTGTTAGTTTTTTTTTTTCTTTAAATTTCCAGTTAAAATAGAAATTCAAAATTTTAAAATCTAAAACAAATAATATTCAAACTAACTACATCAATATTCAAAGCAGGCACTCGAAACAAAAAATGTACAAAACAAACAATATCCAAAATATTTTTTTTTTTAATTCTTCAAGGGGCGGGGCATCTCCGCCCCGTCTCGCCAACCCTTTAGGGGCGGGTTTTTTTGCCCCATTCAGGACGAGGCGGGGAAAATTGCCATCTCTAAATGCGGGAAACGATTGAATTTTTTTCAATATAATAACCATCAATGACTTCATTTATGAAAATATATTTGTATTTAATAAAATATAAGACAATTAAATTAAAACTTAACTTTATTTCAAATCGAAATCAAATTTAAATTATATTGGTACTGAGCCTTGAATCATCTTGCCTTCATCTTCTGAAACTGGGGAGGGATAACGTGAAATGAGCTAACGCTTAGTAAGCAAACTTCGTGCATATGATGCATGCTTATAATTTGCTTATGAATTACTTTAAAACAAAATGTATTTCTCAATATGTATCTCCTTTTTTCATTTCTTTAAAAACCTTAATGTTAATATTGTGAACTCACTTGATATATCGTCTATAGTCAATTAGAATATAGTGGGCTTCTTTGGAACCTGATCAAATCTACCGGTAGTACTGCAAATCAGTTAACATTAATATTAATATTGAACATTGAACATTCATCATTGAACATTATCATCATCGAAAAAATTCGGGATACATGTTTTTCTAAAATATTACCTGACTTATTGACATTTGAAAACTTTTTATTTCTTGGAACTTTATGTGTGCTTATGAATGCATTGGCATATTTAAGTACGCATAAAAGATTTATGACATAAAATATAATATTTAAAAATCACGTTCACATAAAGGACAAGTAAGACATCACATTTATACATTTAACTATATGACATATATATGAAAACGAGTGGAGGTTTACTTATCTCGAATCCTTAACAATTCACCTTTTAAATAGCAAGTAGAGATGTCCCTGATCGCCGCATAGCCAACGTGCCAAGTATACTAAATCATTATCATTCATTTTAAAAATATTCAAATGATATTTATTGTCTATAAATCAAACCATATCGTTATTCTATTAAGATAAAAAAATTATTGTCATTAGATCCTAAAGTGTAAATAGAAAGTGTCCATAATTACATTGAAATTGAAAAGTGAGAAAAAGCATTATCAACTTAAACAGGTCCCTACAATAAATGTCTCTTTTACTACATAATTGATGAATGATCGATGGGGACAAAAAGGCAGCCATTAAGGCGTAAGACATGAATTACAAAGGCCTAAATATAAAAATATGTAGACAAATCAGTTTCAAAACAATTTTAGTGATGACCAGAGACATTAAATGAATAGACAAAGTGGGTTTTCTTGCTAAAATTAATACAAGCAATTTAGCTTATTAATTCCAAGAGCCAAATTACTATTAGTAAATTATATATAGGTTAAATTTTCAGTTTTGGCATAGTGGGATTCAAATGAATCATGTAATAACATACATAGGCAATCACACACACACACACACACACACACACACACACACATATATATATATATAAACCTCTTCATAAACATGTAAAATTGAGAATCTTGACTCAGAACCATATTCTCTAATTGTTAAATTACATACTCTGGTGGGTTCATAATTCAAGGAATATAAATCGGTTCACCAAATGACTGCAAATCAATATAATAATTTAATTATCCACAAGATAGTAGAAAATTGGAAATGTTCCTAAATGGAGAGAGAGAGAGAGAGAGAGAGAGAGGAAGACACGCTTATGAGTAGGGGTCGGTAAAACCTGATCGAATCCGTCAAAATCGTCCAAATAGAATCAGCCCAATCGGTCTAGGTCGATTTTTTTGTTTTTTTTTTTACAAGGGTTGGGTGGGTTAGTTGTGTAGGCAGGTTAAATTAGGTTAGGTTGGGTCGGGTTTTGGGATAACTCATGAAAACCGAATAAACCCGTCAAACCCAACCCGCCCCCGACTATATTTATGAACTTTACAAGTGTTATGATGTTGTTTGGACGAAATTGAGTCACTCTGTTTCTTCACACAACATCCAAGAGTTACAATATTCAGAAAAACCTAGATTAAAATATCAGTTCTTGTTGGAAAAATTTTGTGCAATAGTTGAAAAGTTTGCGGAAACCGTACTCTAATTATATACTACTAATTAACTAGGTTCTACATACGCTACCGCGATACACTAGAAGTCTTGAATATGCACAAGACATAGAAACTCTTAGAATAATATTATAAGATTTGGATAGAATACATTTTACCAAAAATAGTATAAGTAAATACACATTCAACACAAAAATATTTTAATTGCCAAAAATATTTCTTGGCTTCATATAATTTAATATCAATTTGTCCATGTAACATTTCCGGGTATGAAGTGCTAAAACAATTTAGATTTTTTGGTCATTGCAACTTTAGAGACCTAATATTATATAAATCATGAGTCAATTATAAATCCGCTTAACTCGACTCGCCTACTTTAATTTTTGTTGACAAGTTGTCTCAAACGGACCAACCCAACTCAACCCAACCGATACTTGATTTGGTTGGGTTTCAACCTTTACATAGATTGGATTGGGTTAAATTATGATCAAACTGATCATGTTGGGTTGCGTTTGGATTGAGACAAAACTGACCCGACCTGACCCAACACATACCCACCCCTACTTCTCAACCACTTCTCTCCATACTTAATCCCAAGCTCAGTCAAACCATCAAAAGCCAAACAAGCCCTTACCGTTTCCTTTTCTTCTTCAACTAGGCCCCTTGCTTAAGCTAGAACTCAAACAACTACACNGAGGAAACCATACACAAATTATATATTACTAATGCACGGGAAGTTTTGAATATGGCACAAGACATGAAAACTCTTAGAATAATATTATATGTCTTCGATAGAATGCATTTTACGAAAAATAGTATAAGCAGATACATATTCAACACAAAAACATTTTCATTGACAAAAACATTTCTTGGTTTCATATAATTTAATATCAATCTATCCATGTAACATCTACGGGCATGAAATGCCAAAATAATTCAGATTGTTTGGTTATTGCAACTATAGAGACCTAATATTATATAAGTAATGAATCAATTATAAATCCGTCTAACTTGTTATCTTTGTCTCACATCGACAAATCCAACCTAACCCAACCCGACTGATACTTGATTAGGTTGGGTTGGGTTTCAACATTTACACGTGTTAGGTTGTGTTAAATTTTGATCAAATCAATTATGTTGGGTTGGGTTGGGTTGGATTGGATTTGGGTTAAGGCAAAAATAGATCCAACCCAACCCATGCCCACCCCTACTTATGAGGACATGAAGGTTTTTTAAAATACCAGTGCAAAAATCAGTGTGGGAAGTTTTTTATTCAAACTTCAGGTTTTTTTAATTAAAATTTAAATATTGTAATTATCGAAAATAATTATACGGTTTATCTACAGTTTCTATGG